TGACTACAGGGTGTGCTATGACATCTGAGGATGACTACAGGGTGTGCTGTGACATCTGATGGTGACTACAGGGTGTGCTGTGACATCTGATGATGACTACAGGGTGTGCTGTGACATCAGATGATGACTGACTACAGTGTGTGCTATGACATCTGAGGATGACTACAGGGTGTGCTGTGGCATCTGATGTTGACTACAGGGTGTACTATGACATCTGACGGTGACTACAGGGTGTGCTACGGCATCTGGGGATGACTGACTACAGGGTGTGCTGTGGCATCTGGGGATGACTACAGGGTGTGTTGTGGCATCTGATGATGACTACAGGATGTACTATGACATCTGATGGTGACTACAGGGTGTGCTGTGACATCTGATGGTGACTACAGGGTGTGCTGTGGCATCTGGCCCAGCTTTGTATTCAGCACATCTGTATTGAGTTCAGTTTCTTTCCTTTCCACCCCTGCTTTTCACTAATGTCTCTGTTCCTGCTGTAGTAATAGTAATGGGTGAACTTAGCGCTCCCTGTTTACCCCAAACCATGCAATGCATTATAAAAGCAAGACCTTATTTCATGCTTACAAAAAATGACTAAAAACAATCAACAGTTGTCTAGTGAGGAAACTGAACTTCAAAGAACCTATATAAATTACTGGGGTCATACAATCTTGGAGACAGCTAAGACAAAATGGATGCTCCTCCCGTCAGAGGAACTGCTAAAAACATTGTAGCAGAGTGACACTGACGACAGCCACACTGCTCTTTCCTGGGACCTGGTGACCATTGTTTGAGATGCTTCCCATGGCTAAAAGTAAAAAATTCCATAAATATTCTTTAATGACTAAATAAATATTTGCTCTGTGATTTTATACTCTTCTTTCAAATTACTTTGATTCCTGTGGGAGTCTTCATTGCAAATGTATTTCCTGGTACTGTAAGCTAGTTTGAGGCCACTGTAGAGCCAAACACTGAGTGACCTCAGAGGATACTGGTGTGGGGATGCTCCTTCCTCCTCACTGGCTCTCCAGATGACATCACTTCTTCCTCTAAATGACTCTAATTGCAAAGCCTCTCCAGGCACATCAGCAGTGTTCCCTACCAGTTTTTGGTGCCCAGACTTCAACATCTAACATCTATTTCCAAGCAGGCCTGTTGACATGCCCATTTTACTTTCCTGAATGAAATCTTTACTATGCGAAGAATGTTTAAATTAAGGCTCTTTGCTTTTCTGTGTCAGTCACCGATGGCCAGACTGACTGCTTCCCTGGTGCTGGAATTATAGGCGAGCACCACCAATCCGTGCTCTGTATTCTCATCAACATCAAATACCACTGTTGTCTGTTGTCTTAGAAAATTGACACTGGGGGTGATATTTTGTTTGTGCTTTAACAAATAAGACTTGCCTGAAGATCAGAGTGCAGAGCTAGCCACACTCGTTAGACATAGAGGCCAGGCAGTGGTGGCACACATCTTTAATCCCAGCATTATGGAGACAGAGGCAGAAGGATCTCTGTTAGTTTCAAGGCCACTCTGGGCTACACGAAATTGATCAGTCACGCACCTTTAATCCCAGCACTAGGGAGATGGAAACAGGAAGGGATATGGCTAGATAGAGAGAGGAATGTAAGGAGGGACGAGACAGGAGCATTCGTCTGAGGATTCCTAGAGACAGGATCACTCATTCAGTCTGAGGATTCCTAGAGACAGGATCACTCATTCAGTCTGAGGATTCGGTAGAGGTAAGAACTAGAGGCTGGCTGCTCTGCTTTCTTATTTTTTCAGCGTTTACCCCTATATCTGACTCCAAATTGTTATTATTAAGAACAATTACAATTTGTGCCACATAATGCATTTGACTTTAATAGATAAAAGGCAAGAAAAATATATTCACCTTCATAATTTCTAGGGATCCCATTGTTTTTAAGTGCCTGTAGTTCTACCTAATATGTTTGTGGCAATTTAGGTCTTCTCTCAACCCCATATCAGTATTTCCTGAGTCATCAATATAAGCTTTGATACTTATGTCTATATGACAGAATTGGTTTTTCTCCATAGTCTAATGTCTACCAACATTATCCTTGTACCTCAATACTTATATTTTGCATAGTCTGGAACAATAAGTTTTTTGTACTATGCCTAAAAGCATTAATTTTAAAAAAGTAGTTTGCAAATGTACATTTACTGCAAATTAGGAGTTTAATTGAGTGATATGATCCCATAGTACTAAACAGTTTTGAGGAAAATATTCCTATCATCACCATGCTTTTAGCACATTTTTGTGCTGGGGTTTGAACCCAAAGTCTCGTATATGCTAGGCATGTACTGTATACACAGCTGCATCCACAGGTCATACAATTATCATTAAGTTTCATTACTTGGACTAAATTCAACCTGGGCTCACCATACACCTTTAAAAATAGATTCTATGGCCCATCAGCTTTTCAGTGGCTGCTAATGCTTCTTGACAGGCCTTTTAGAACATTGTATCCATGCTTTGGAAGTAGTCCAATCAGCTTTCTTTCCTTGTACCCTTCTTCTTCAAACCACCAGTATCTAGCTGCCTATGTTAAAGGATATAGTCTTCAAAATCACAGGGAGAGTGCACAGAACTGGTATTCGAACACATTAGATAATAATCATGAAAAATCATTAGCTCTGAAAACAAACTGTGCATACCATTGAAAAGAAATGGATTGAACCACTTTTTGAAAGAAGAATTATCTATACTGGTATTTTAAGATTTTTTTTGTGACATAAACTCATAGCTGAATATGCAATTGTTTTCTTTCTTTCCTTCCTTTTTTCTTTCTTTCCTTTTCTTTTGAGACAAGCCCTCACTGTGAAGCTCTGTCTGGCATGACATGTGCTATGTAGAACAGACTGGGGGACAATCCTCCTGTTTCTGTTTCCTGAATGCTGAAATTACAGGTGTGTGATATTGTGCCTTGCTGTAATTTGTTTCTAACTAAAGAAGGGTCCCATGCAAGTGTCCTTCAGAGTGAATGATGTCTAAACTTAGTGAATAAGACTCCCCATGTCACTGCATTTGTTTTCAAGATTCAGACTTACCTCTACTTGTACCTTTTTTTCAAAAGGAAATTATGAGAAGAAAATTACCAAATTTTCAGTAAAATTGCAGAAAACTCAAATAAAGTAAATATACACTGACAAGTAAGTGCAAAGTTATTTTTACTTTAATAAATTTCTAATCAGAATTCAGTGAAAGATTTTTAAAGAACTCATGTAAACAAGCATTTTTTTTGTCATAATTAGAAATATTCACCTCTAAAATGCATTGCCCTCAGCATCACTTCTAAATATCCTTTGGTAAAATCAAAATCAAAGAGACGAAAGAAAATAATGCAGTTCCTGAACACAGATGCCAGGAAACAGGAAGTTGTGAATTTTAGGCCTTCCATGGTCACAACCAAGAGCGCCCAGGGATAAGAGCCCCAGGGGTCATGGTGGAGGAGAAAGCAGAAAGGTTGTAAGAACAAGAGGTAGGGGACATCTGTAGATGTCATTTGTCAGACATGACAGAGCCCTTGAGCACATGAGCTCACAGAGGCTCGCACCCGATCAAGCCAGACAAAATCCCACCGCAGATGGAGGCGGAGCTCATGAAATCCCAACCCTCCCTAAGGAGCCATTGGCAGTTGACGGCTGCTGGAAAGAAAGAGTGGGTTTTCTTCAGATATGTGGCCCCTGGTAGGCTGCCCGTGTTCTGGAAGATGGTCCTATACCCATGGGCATGCGAGCAGCATTAAGAGAACTCAGTGAGGGTTTTTTTGTTTTGTTTGTTTGTTTGTTTGTTTGTTTTGTTTGTTAAGTGGAAATGGGAGAGAAAGTGGTGGAGGGGGATAGAGAAAGAATTGGAGGGGTTAAGAAATGGGTGGTGGATTCGATCAAAACATAGTATATGCATATATGAAATTCTCAAGCAATAAAAAGAAAGATCTTTTAATTAAGAAAAGATAAAAATGAAAGGAAAAAACTAAAAGTTTCAAAATGTACTTTCTCTTCCTTTCATACATAATCAAATACAGTTTTCATATTCTGATTTTCCCTTCAACATCACTTCCAGGTTTCTGACTCTTTTCATATTGTTCAATTCCACTCACTTTCTGTATATTTTATGGATTCAAGTGTATATGTATTTTTCTCTCATGAAAGAAAAATTAACTTATTCCATCTTGATGAGGGAGGTCCTTCTGTGTATATGTCTGTCTTATTGGTTGATAAATAAAGCACTGTTGGCCAATAGGAAAGCAAGTTAGGTGGGACTAGGAGAGGAGGATTCTGGGAAATGTAGGAAAGGGAGAGA